CGGCCGGGCGCGGGGCTGTCGCGTGTCCGCGCTCCGGGCTGGAGCGGCGGCGGGAGCGGGTCCACCCGCAGCGCCCTCGGAAACAGCGCCCGGTGCCGCCGGAGCGGAGCGGCCAGGCGGGAACACGACGGTGTTCCAACTGAGAGCGCAATTACCGAGTCAGAAAATGGAAGGGGATCTGTACCGGCGTGTACGTGGCCGCGGAAAAAACCGGCAGAAGTGGCGGTGGTCGGAGACAGGTCCGGCCGCACGGCAGGCGCAGCACAAGCCGTGCCACGCAAATCCTTTCCTGAGGCACCTGCCTCTGGAGAGGACCAAACTTTCTGGCCTGACTTGGTGGAGAATCCTAATCCTAAAAACGATTAGATATTTAATTGTGAAAATCAGACTATTAAGAATTCACAGATTATCGAAAACATTAGTTAATCACCCCACGCCTGCCCTAGAAGAGACAGACAGACATTGGGGAAAGCGCTGGGGACGGGCTGGTGTGAAATGCAGCAGCCTTGCAAAGCCTTTCCAGCTCCAGCCTCCTATTAAAAGAAAAGGATCATGTGAGGATCCTTTGAAAGGCAATGTTCTGACTAAAGCAAGCAACTGCATTAATTGGGATTCTTGTATTCATACATGCTGGGCTAAATAAAGCAAGCTGGTTTGCTGCGGCAGGCTGGGGAAAATATATAAACCTAATCCTTTCAATTACTTTGTCGGTGATTAGAGTATCCATAACAAATGCACGGTCCTAAGAGTCCTATTTAGCACGGAACATCTTTTCAGGGAACAGAACAAGCGTCCTAAACAAAAACCAAAATGACCTAATTCTTTTTTTTTTTTTTTCATTTTGTGGGGGGCGGAGGGAAGCGCGAATTGCTACGATTCCTTGCTTTCGAGAGTTGCAGCTACAAGGCATCCCCCTTTTTTTTTAAATCCCCTGAAGTTAACTTTCATGATGGAGACAAACTCGGCAGGAAAACAAAGCTTTGATCTTTGTGTGAAGGAAGACAGTAATAGAGTGAAAGTCTCTCCAGAGGGTAATTATTCTTTGGCCGCTCAGACAAGAAGTTCCCTGTCACTGTTGAGGTTAATATTAAGGTAGGTCTGCTATACTTTCCCATATTAAAAAACAAAAATAAAACAAAACCAAAAACAAACAAACCAACCAAACAAAAAACCCAAACACAAAAAACCAAAACAAAACCCAAACCAAGGGGGAAAAAAAACACCAACCCCCCCCCCCCCAAGACCCCCCAAACAAAACAAACAAATAAACAAAAAACCAAAACACACAAAAAAAACCCAAAACAAAACCCAAACCAAGGGAAAAAAAAAACAAACCAAAAAACCCAAAAAACAAACAAAAACCAAAAAAACCCTCCCCAGAATGTTATACTATTAATTGCCAATTTACATATGTGTGCAGCTGCTGTTTTGGCTCCGATCTTCCATCCGATAAGCTTGCTGGAGGTATCACAGAGCACTTGGCAGCTTTCCTATTTGAAAAGAAAGCCTTCCTAACTACAGAACAGCTGATAGTCTATCAGTGATAGACCCTGATGGCGTGAATTACAATTACACTACTTTTCACACTAAATCTGGGTGATAGCTACTTGGAAAGAAGTTTCATCATTTTTTACCACAAACTGGAAAAAGAATTACATGGTCATGCTGTGCTTTTAAAGGCAGTTTGGTTCACTTTTGTCTATTTAACACCTAATTCCGAGGAGTCCATAGGCATCTGGAGATCTGAACGTCGCGTAATGAATTCACTGTTTAGATGGGAGATTTTTTAAAACTACCTCAAATTACATTTATTAACAAGGCGAGCAGGAAGTGTTAGAGTTGTTAGACGCTTCATTTATTAAATAATTTGTGGATATTTTCAGTTGTCATATCCAGAGTCATGGGGGTTTACTTATTTTTTAATTAGCAATTCCAAAACAATGCTACTGCAATTTAACAATTCATCACATAATCTGGGGCTGTTCAGTTCAGCCACTAATGCTAGATAATTCAGATTGTTATTTTGATCTGTTGATAACTCATTTTGTTGTGATAAGAGAACTGCTGCCTTGAAATTAAATGGCATGATTTCCTATGGACCTTGTTGCGACCTAGAAGCTAACTATATCGTCTTCGTCTACAACTTTATACCTGGTGTAGCAAAGCAATAGCAATTTTAAAATATCACTTATTTGTTTTCTCACTTCATGATTGGTCCTTATTTTGCATTAGTGTGTTTTGATACACCACTGCGGAGGAGGAGGTGGGGAGAAATGCAAGTGTCAAAGTAAATTTAATTGTACGAGTAAGTCACCCACATTGCTGCCGAGGTCACAATGTCTAAACTTTTCCCCTTATATGTCAGAAAGTTAATTTAGCGAGATGCTGCCCTGATAGTTAAATGTAGCTGCTTAAATATCTTAAAAAGGCATGGTGGAAAGCCTGACTCCTGACGTAGCTAACCTAACAGAAAATAGACTTTGTTTTCCTTTTTTAGTTGCTTGCTTTATTAGATTTCTCACTCTCGCAGATTATCCAAAAACTACCCATTGATTGATCGCCCGTAGAGCTGCATTTGGTGTAAAGAAAAACTTCACAGCTTTATTGGCTCCCAGGAGACAAAACAAACATAACAAGATATTCGTATTAATACAAACAATGCAACAAATGAGAAAACCATCACATTTAAATAAGATGGTAAAGTCAGTCCAGTGTACATCCCAGCCTCTGATATAGCAGACATGGCAGTTCAACTACTCACCAGCGCTCTCAGGCATGGGTCCCCATGGGAGTTGCATTATTGCTCACAGCATCTCATCACTGTGAACAGTTAACCTAAGGAAATGCCACCGAATAAAACTTTAAGAACGCAGTTTAACGGTATTTTACTGCAGCTTTGCAACTGCAAATGTAAAGGTTGAGATTAGTCTGTTTCTTAAAATATATTTTGAATGGGGTTTTTTCGTGTGTGTGTATGCTTGGACCTGGAAGGTGTTGCTCATTTTTTCAGGGCATCACACATGTGATCTTAATAAGGTGTTTCTTTTGTGAAGAGAAAACGAGAAGATTTGAACTTTCTGCCATTTCTTCTGAATACAAAAAAGGGGACGTGTCCCCTTAGTCTTCGTTAAAAAAAATCCAAGGAACAGTTTTATTTTTAAAGAAAGAAACTTTCCCTCCCACCACAAACACACCCAGGCACTCCACGAACATTTTGTTTAAAAGAAAGCTAATGCCCTCTTATCTTCGTCTCAGAAATGTAACAAAAACAAAGGTACTGGTTTTGAGGACAGCCAGCTAGCAAGTCCACTCTGTTATTTCTTACAAAGTCTTTAGCAGAAGACACAACCAGCCTGTTACATAGTAACATTTTCTTCACCAGCGTTTTCGTATGATAACCATTTTCTTCACTCTTTAATGGAAAAGTCACTTAGGCCCAGTGGGAAATACAGACCTTCTGAAATGCTGTGAGAGTCTTATAATCCATATAATCTTGCTACCCTCACGGAAATGGCTAGGTAATTGCTCTTCTGCCATTCTGATGATACCTTTTTCTGGTGATCTCTGTGATAGACTGGCTAAATCAAAGTGAAGCTGGATTTGGTGGCCATATGATTCCCTTGAATCCCCTAAGAGATCTGACAAGTCTGAGAATTGCATCACTTTCTAGGTCTTGCATCCATTTTCCACCGGATGGCAAGGTCAAAAAAACACTGAAGGGACTGCCTTTTCTTTCTGTGTTTGTAGTGTCAGCGGGCATTTCTTGGCATCTCCGCTATTCTACATGAAAGAAGGAGCAAGCACACAACTAAGTAGTAATAATTTAAAAAGTAAAACTAAACTAACTTTATAAGAATTTGTAAAGCCTACAGCATTTTCTTCTCTTAGAAGAGGCATTCACAGGTTACTACATATCTTCAAAGAGTTACTCTTGCAATCATGACATATAATGCTAAGTTATCACTACACAAAGTAAATTTTAAAATGACAACTCTTAATACCTTGCTAAGGTGTAGGAAGATATTTCATAATGAACTGATATAACATTTCATATTACTTTCCAGCTATGTATTCTTTGCAAATTTTCTTGCCTGAAATGCATGTGTGTGTACACAAAATTATATGGAATAAAAACTTTGGAGAAATTCAGGGTGTAGTGTGGTCAAGGCGATTTCAGAAGTCATATATAAGAATGGTGGAAGTAAACCTGCTGTTCCTCTTCCCTGGGCAGAAGGGGGCTAAACCTGGTGGCTTTATGCTGGAAGACTTCTATCATTCTTTGAATACTTAGGGACACTAAACTCCCTGAATAAAGAAATCAGATGAATCTGTTCTAATTAGGGATATTCCTGTTGCTAGTGTCTTGTATCACTTGAGGCAACTGGGAATCTATAAGTAACAAGCTTATTTGATCTGTATTAACTGCAGTTAAATGGACACATGGATGAGAACTCTATTAAAAAATCAGTGTATGTGATTTTGGCTGCTGAGCCTCCGTGGGCTTTCACATCTCTGATGGCATGGAGCCCGAGGTTTCTCTCCAGTGATCCTATTGAGCTTGGACGTGGCTTTTACTACGCCCCCACCCTTATGTCCAGAGTTATGTACATGTTTCCACATATTAAAAATGTAGTCTACACTGCACGGATTTACAACACTATCAAAGCCTTTTCAGAGGTATCCATCACCAGGTCTATGCGAGCTCTGAACAGTATCACTCCAACCAGCTGGTTCCACTGGGCCGGTTCCGTGCTGGCAGAGAACTTGCATAAGTCTACAGTGATTTTTTTTCCTGCTCACTTCGCATTCTGTACCTCCTCCTACAATTACTGTAATCCCTTTAACCCCATAGAAACCTCCAGCACTCGACTGTTGATAAATTGGTAGGTCGGATGGCCTTTCACCTGGTTGTCACCGCTGGAAAAAGTGCTAATGGACATTTGTAGATTGGATTGTCACCCGACCAGAGGCTCAGTTTCTGCTGTGCAGGCACGGGCTTGTCACACAATGGCTCGACTCCACACCCCGTCTGTCCGTATACACTTTTGCATGAGCACTGACCCCGGGAGCAGTTGCTGTGTTTTTTCAGGGCAACTGTTATAAGCAGATGTTCTAACAGTCTCACAGTCCGCAATCTCAAGGACTTGTTTCGTTCCATTATCCCGTGTGCGTGGAGTAACCCGTGCACAGGAGGCTTGTGATGGCGAGAAGGGCAGTTGATCTATTAAAACAAACAAGCAAACAAAAACCCCAACAAATCACCCCCCTCCCCAAACAGAAAAAAACCCCCAAAACATCAAACCCCAACCGTTATTTGTCACTCTTTTGCTAGTGGTCAATAATAAAGAGGAAACTTTGAATGACTGCATGTCAGCAATGTCAGGAGGGGCGGCAGTGCAGCTGTACGGGCTGCCTTGTTTCATCCGTCATTACCTAGCAAATGAGCCGACTAGCTCGTGGGCAGGTACAGAAGCACTGGCAGGCAAGCAAGAGAAGAGATTATTTTTGCATATCTTCTGTGAATCTCCAGGGAATTCAGTGGCGTTCCTTATCTGAAGTGCTCGTAATTAAGAGGATGGCATCTTTGGGCTGGAGAATTCCGGAGAAAATCATTTTCACAGCACCTAGAGGGCTTGATGTCGCGCTTGATGACAGATGGGAAACCTTTATGAAGGCTCCGTAACCTTTTGCCCTGAGAGACTGTACTTTTGACACTGCAGAATTGGGAGGATATAGATGTTTTTACTCGGGCGATAGTAGGGTGATTTTTTAAAACAACGAGCCATTTATTAAAGTATTTTAATGAACTGTACAAACAGCGAAAACCTAACAAAGCTTATGTCACTGCTGAAAGTGAAAACATAACTACTAACTCTAGAGTGTTTTGCTTATGGACACTTATATTGCACAGAAATAAGATATAGGAAAAGACTAACAGATAAGATTTCATGTTTCATCTTTTCAACTCGTAACCTCACGAATGTCATGCCCCTTCCATTAATCCTTTTCTCAACTTAAAGATCCCTGTGAATATGAATAAAGTTGTATTTTAAAAACGAAAGAAAGAGAGAAAGAGAAAACAAGACTCATTCACATTCCGAGTCTGCTTTCTGTCTCACACGTATTACATTTCACAAAACAGATAGAAACAATAGAGCTTATTAAGAAAAACTTGTTTTGAATGGCAAATTAAGCATAATGAAAATACACACGTTTTTACAAGTAGTTATTTTTTCACCAATTGAATATTTTAAACCTTTCTAAACTATATACTTGTCTCTGCAAAACGTTTTTCTTTTAGCTTGTTTTCACCATATCACCTTGCTATATGTGTCTATTTAAAATCTTTAATTTGGTCAGCTCAGAGACCTCTATAAGCACAGCACCTTTTCTGTGGCCGGGCAGTAACCAATAGAGGTGATCTACCTACCCCAGCTATTTATGAGTAATATCAGTGTTGGTTTCCAGGCTGAACAGGCTGATGCACAGATCAGTCCGCACTAGGGCTTCTTGGGCAGGAAGAAAAGTTATTATATGCGAGAAGATATCTCGGCACTCATCTTTGATGCAAATACCTTTGCAGTGCAGCATAAATCATCAAAATAGATATAATATTTTGTGGTCAGTTTGGAAAATTATGTGAAAACAAGAAATAATCCAAGAATCTTTTAATAAAAAGTGAACATGACCTAATGAAAACTCACTTCCTCCTTTCATCCTTATGTACAGTTAAAAAAAAATACAGATAACAGCAAATGCAAGTTTTTATCTCCATTCCCCATATCTCTAAATTCAGAAGCACATAAAAAAGGGCACAGAGTTTTTCCTCGAATTTTGCTTTATACTGTAAATCCATTAAATCAGTCTTCCTGATATGCACCAACTTGTGTATCTAGTATATAAAATCTCTTTAAACATAAAGCACTCAAATTTCAAGCATTAAGGTGGACTACATTTTTCCATTTCTTAGGTATTGCAGCGATCTGGGAATTTATTTTTACAGCCTGAGATGTCAGTATGCCACAGAAGCATGAAAATCTTACCATCTGTATGCTCATGGACAATCTCATCAAGTACACTCAACGACAGACTTAGAATAACAAAATTTAAATGCTATTACTACCGCCTAGCCGTACATGCACTCAAATCTATTTTAAATAACATTCAACCTGAGTTATCATGCTGCCTACCTCAGGCCTCAATCAGTTTATTTCCTTTCAGTTTGCTCATCCCTGTGAATCCTGCTATAAACCAGGCACATGCTATTTGAAATAACATTTGTTAAATTAAATGTGGGGTTACACACAGATGCATATAATTTAATTTGGCCCAGTGCTGATCCACAACCCAGTGAAGGTTCAAGAGCTGAGCAATGGCTTCACCTGGCACCTTACCTAATGTGCTGGGCAATGTCCTTCTGGATATGTGTTACTTGTCAGTGCCAGGAAACAAGGATATGTTTCAGTTGGAACTCTGTTATAGCAGACACTACATAGTTTAGATTAACTCCTTTCAGTAGTACAGCATCAATGTGTTATTGCCTTAACATAAAACATACAGATTATGTAAATCTGTAATAAATACTATTTTGAAGTGTATAGTAATCAAAAATCTTTCAGGGCAGGATGGAATGGAAACTGAGAAATATTGGAGAGTAAACATTCCAACGCTCATTCCTCTGCTTCTTCCTGGTAGAGTGGAACACTCGCTGTAGCTGGGCTGCTAATGCTCCAGCCCTAGGGTTTGCCCTGTGAGTCCTGCAAAGCATAGACTTTCTGGGAAAACTAGGGCCAAAATGATCCCACACAAAGCATTTCCACTGTCTCTGCAGACCTTGTTGCACTGTTTGTGAAAAGGAATGATTTTTCCTGGTCTGAGGGAAGGCTAGCCCTTTTTGTACCTCCTCACAAGGTGCACGCTGTGTACGTGAAGGCATTCGGGCTTGCAAGGCCAAGCAATCCAAGAGGCAAAAGGCAGTGGCGGAAGAGAGGCCGTACCACTTGCTTACTACGTGTTTAGCATTTCGGACTCAAGTGCCTGTGCAGAGCTAAGACGGCAACGGAGCCCCTGGACTTCATCAGTAACTGGCACAGCTCTGCAATTCCCTCACCTTTGTGAGCCTGGTCTGGGGTGCGGCAATAGATTGTCTCTTACCGGGCAACCTGCTGCGCTGCCGGCTATCGTCTGTCCTCTGGCGGGGATCAGGGCGCCAGGAGGGCAGCCCGAAGAACCCGCAAGACTTGTACAAAATGCTCCTCGCATCTGCCCGTTGCGGGGACTCAAACTGACGGGCTCCTGGCAGCCTGGGCGCCGAGGGCGAGGTCGGAAATCTGCCACTGATACCCAGCAGCCTGCCAGGTCCCCCGGGTGCCGCCAGCCCCGCTGAGCGGTCCCGCTGGAACTCTCTCTGGGTTACCACCCATGCCGGGTGCGGTGCCGCCTGCTGCGGAGGGGCCGGATCGCGTAGGGCTTGCCACGCGGCCAGCGAGAAGGAGGGATCGCGGCAGGCAGGCAGGCGGAGGGAAGGAAGGAAGGAGGCCGGGCTGATTAGCATGCAGCAGCGCTCGCAAGCCCGGCTCCATTGTTTTAACACCTCCCCTCTCCTCCGCGCCAATCTGTCACCGTTCAGCAGGCGAACGCTGCTGCCTCGAATGCTGCTCTTCTCAAATGAGACGGATAATTAGCTGCCCCGCACGAATGGCGCACTCTTCTCACCCCTGATTGCTATCACCTTCTTGCTCCTGGCAGTTTTGACACCTCGTAATCAGCCTGCTGCTTTTTCTCTTTTCTTTCCCTATTTCTGATTTTTTCTCCCCCTTCCTTTTTTTTTTTTTTTTTTTTTTTTTTTTTTTTTTTTAAATGCAATCCCAGTTGCCATTTGGATTGAGACTCCTCTGTTGAGTTAACCTTGTATGATTGCGGGGGAAAGGGGAATGTACGGTAGGGAGGGAAAGAAATCGCCTCCTCTGAGTCTCATCTGCTGAGTGAACCATGGGTGGGGAGAGAAGCATCTCGGCTTGATCCTCCAGTGCTTTTGTTCGTAAGGGGGAACGGCCTCTCCTGAGCATCCTCTGAATTAATATTATCTCGGATGGGGAAAGACCGTGTGTTGAGCGACTCCTCCACTCAGGCTGGAGAAAAGACTGCATTTCTGTTATCTGGTTAAATACAGCCATATGAGGAAGAAGAGATTTTAGAAGTAGGTTCACAGGCCAGGAAGTTCCCTCTTCCTCCCGGTTAGGCAGGGAAAGAAGGTAACTTCTTGAGCCTCTTAGAGTGAATTCACTGTTTCATGGGAGTTGGAAGAGAGATCTGATTGGAGTGCGAGATGGCAGAGGGAACTACTTCTCTTTTGATTCTAGAAAAATGAGAGATCTCAATTAATGCTCTGGTGATTTCTGCGAGATCTTACAAAACAGAGGACTCGTGGAATCTGTCATAGGAGCGTTTTCCTCTCCTCTAACAAGCACTGACAGTCTAATTACTGCAGCTACGAGCAGCTGTCGAGTTAGCCGGAGAGACAGAGGAGCTACATGTGTTCTACCCGGCCGCCGGCACTGAGCCCTCGCAGCAGGCTGAGGCAGCCGTACTGCCGCAGCATCCCTCAGAGACTTCCCGATAGGAAACGGGAGCGGTTTTTCCTCGCCAGCGCTCGCGCGAACGCTGGCTGTAAGCAGGGGGGGTTCACGCGTCGCGCACCGTCAGCGCGGGGCGGGGTGACAAGTCAACTCGTACGGGAGCCCTGAAACTGCTCCAGCCCCGGGGCTGCCCCGACAGGGGCTCCGCTGGTCCCGAGAGAGGAGGCATTCGGTAGTACACCTTGGCACGAGTTTCCTGCTCTTCCTTTCCTCAAGCTCCTTCCACCATATTTAATATTTTTAATGAAATTCTACTTCCCCTTTGGATTCAACCTCCTCTTGTGTGGAAGAGGGAGCGGAGGGGAGGAATACTGAGCCTCCTCTGGTGAACGTAATAAAGCAGATGTCCGTGCTGGCAGCAACAGCCTCCTCCAGGAAAGCTGTATAAATGGGGCCCACTCAGGGACGGCACTTGCCTCCCACTTCGAGTCGCTCACAACTGCTTAGCGTGAGATTTATTTATTTATTTATTTAAAAACTAGGCTGGTGCCCCTCGCAGTGGTCTGATCGGTGAGCCTATCTGGATGCCCTCAGGCAGCAACAGTTTTACGCACGCAGGATTAAACAGCTTCCTAAGACGCCGCACTAGGCAGGAGCTCTCACAGCGGGAGATGGATTGAGTTCTGCTGGTTGTCGAGACTTTGGTCAACCGTGTTCCCCCCACTTCCTCCCGCCCTCTCCGCTCTGTCCCGGGCTGCAGGGGACCCCAGGCTGCCTCCAGCAACAAAAGCCGTGGCCCCACGCGAGGACTCGGGCTCGGCGCAGGGCTCCCTGCTCTGCCAGCACAAGGGCTCTTGGGGAAAACGCATCCACGCTTGGAGGGCGGGGGAGAAAAATAGATGACTTTATTTTCTTCAAAGGTGATTCGCAGTTTGTTCATCTCTTAATAACGTGAGCTTCTGAGCTCGAATTTCACGGTTGAGAGGACGAGTCAGTGTTGTGTGTCGGGCTGGATGGAGACGTGCGAATCCCCTTCTCTCCTCCCAAGCCTGGAACTTCTGCCTCTCCCGGGAACCACCCCCAGCCGTGCTCTCTGGGGAGGAATTTCACACGCCGCACGGCGAGTCCAGGCCCGAACATCGCCTCTTCACCGCTGGCGACCGGCGGGGGTGTACAGCTCTGAACAGTAACAAACTCTTTCTCCAGGTCATGTAGCAGACATGCACTGTTTATTACAGCACACTCTGTTGACAGCCCATCACAAACATGACATGTTTAAAATAGAGAAAATAATTGCAGAAAAATCCATTTCTAAAAATTATGCAGGTGTTAATTCTTCCAGAAATTTGTCACCTGCGAACGAATCTTTAAAAAGAGAAAATGTTGTGCTTTGCTGCTAGGAAAATCCTAATGCTAATTATCAAATATCAGGACTAAACCCTATATTCAGTTCAAATGCAAAAAGCAAGCACCCTTTAATTTAAAATACTTGGTACTCCCCCTTCTTTTTAATTTGATATCAAGAAATCCAGAAAATGTGCAAACTTTATCAGACTGCAATGTTTCAACTAAACACAAATTTTAATTGCATTGAGAAAGCTGCTAAGCATATTCAGGTTAAAAATGAAGTCACTGAGATTTGGGTGATTAGGTTTTTGCCTTTGCTTTCTAGTCTGTATCAGACTTGAGCGATTCTTTGTAGCAGACCAGAAGAAAAGGCAGATAATCTTTGGTACTATTAATTTTAGGGAAAGTTTAACCTTTCCTATCCTTCATACTAATATAATCTTTTTCCTGAAAGCATTTTTAGTAACTATTAATGCTAGAAAGGTACACAAACAAGTATTTTTTTTAATAACATGTAACAGATATCCATAAAATCATTACTGTTACATTTTGGCAAAAGGATCATTTATGTGCTGTTTTTGATTACTCTCTCTAGTAAACAGTTGTTCTGGGAAAGTCAACCATTCATTTAGGTTACCAGTGAACAAGCCTATTCTAATTTTGGCATACCTGGCATTAGGTTACCGTGATAATTTTATAAGAATCTGAATTAAGAAGTTTGCTAGTTTAAGTTAAATTTGGAAATTTTATAATAGAAATGAAAAATGAGAGCCTGCTTCTCTTCCTGTTTACTTCAAGGAGAATATAATCACATCGTTGGATACTGTGAAAAAAATCCTAGCATTACATCAATTTTGCCAGTCATATTAAGGCATTAATCCTGCAAGTCTACACTCATAAATATAATCATGACTTTGGGCCTATCAGGCAAAGATTAAGTGGGAAAAAAAAGTGTTTGACATCACTCTTGAAGTTAATAGTGAGGTGTAACAAGCAATAATGTGAATTACAGTACTGAGTGACTTAGTTTCATTTTACCTTGTCAAAAGACAACTAAAAATGTGCTTATCTGACAAACAATTTCAGTCATGAGTTCTTGTTACAAGAAGTCTTAATTCTTAAATTCTTAGCGTATCTATTGAATAAAAAAAAAAGTATGCAAAACCAGTGAACCATTGAATTCTCATACATTAAGACTGTACTTTAAAGTGGGAATTCAGATGACGAAGAAAATCTTCCTTAGATGTTGGAGATGGTGGGAAAACTTCTCGACAGAATTCACATATTCTACACTGATTCAGTTCAGAGTCTGCATATGCTTGTGCCAGCAAATCATTGTCTTGAGGCTGCCAAATGATCTAAAAGAAACAGAAAATTATTATTGCTGTAGTTTACAATGTGGTTTACATTATGCTGTAGCTTATATTTATATAAAAAAAACAACCTGTCTCTTTAAACTGGGTATCCTTTACACCTGCCTCACCAGAGACGTTAACTAGAGAGTTCTCATTTAAAAAAAACAAGGCAGAACTTAGGTTTTTTAAGTTCTGTAAACACACTGTCCTTGCAAATACCTAAAATACCTCGGTATCTATTAATAATAAATACTGCTATAAGCAATAGTCTGTAATACCAGTTTGATACATATTAAAGCATTTCTTTAACTCTGCATTTCAGTATTTTACTCTAGAAGTCATAATACCCAATAGCCATTCAACAGAAATAAGAAAATACATTTTTTACCTTAGAATAAACTGTTTCTTGTACAGAGTTAATATCTCCATTCTTATTGGGACGTAACTAGCTTTCAGTTTACTTAAAAAATTATTAGAGCAATATCATGTGGCTTAAGGTACTTATTTGCTCTGACTGTCTTTTACTGTAAATGTGTCTCAAATAATCTGGTTTGGGATTGCTTTGGCCATGACAGCATCAAACTTGCTGGGACCATCTGAATACACACCCATGCATTCAGGCAATTCTGTGAACTATGCTGTATTGGGTTCAGCAGCTGCATTGCTCTTGGTCCCTGAGCTAGTTAGCTTAAAGCTAACTCTGTTTATCCGACATTGGAATTCAAGGCACTTAAGTCTGGAGACTACGTGTGCACTATTTAGAATCATACCAACTAGGAACCAAAAAGTCTTCTATCAGTTTTCAAAGTAAAGTTAAAAATTCAGTTTCATTACTTTAATATTAGCAACACAAGATCAAATAAATAGTTCTGTTATATGGCCAGGGCAATCAGGTTTTGAGTAAATTGAAAACCAAATGCATACTGCTGTGACTGCAAAGTAGACAGAATGGCAGCAAGCTGGTATGAGCTCTATGTGGGGATGGAATCTAGAAGAGAAGAGCACCCTACAGGGTTTTTTTTGGCTCAGTTTTCTTCCCTCTTGCTTCACTAGCACATGGAAAGGCAAGCAAGAATACTTTAGAAAGTAGTTTCTTTAGAAGTTTTAAATTTCTTGCTACTGATACTTACCCAAGATTTTTAATTTTCAGCTCTTCCAATTTCATCATGTCAAATAGTTAGAATCTATTGTTTATTCCTGCCATGGTAACCCACTGTACAACTAACCTGGCTTTCACTGCGGTTAAACCTTCTTTTTAAACAACCCTAAACTTCTTGGGAGTCAATTTCCTGCCTATTTGGTATTTAAACAGTGTTTAGCTTATCACATAGCAATAGCAGATTTACTGTCTTTCATTATGGTCAGCAATCCATATAATTAAATTGACTAATTAGTAATTAAGTGCAATCACACCACTTCTTTTCAGCTCGAA